AGTGTGCCAAGGGGACCCTGCCCACCGTCAAGGGGGGAAGTGGCCTATATTCCCCCCCCCCCGATGGGCATGGTCTCTTGAGCCCTGAACCCACCCAACCTCACCGGCCACCGTCAATGCCAAGGAGTGAGCCGGGGAGACCTCACCCGCCCGCAAGGGGGATGGGACCTATCAACCCCTCCCCCACCCTGCAGGGCTTCTTTCCCCTGGATCCCACCCCGTGAGGGTCGCCCCATCACCATCACCCAACCCACCTACTTGTGCCCATGGCTATTTGTACCCCATGTGTGGATGATTGACCCTCACCGATTATCAACTAGGTCTTAATCTCGCCCACCACCCCCCCTCCATTGGGGACACTACAGTCCGTATGTATTATGTGAGCTGCCAACCCCAACATAACAACATCCCCCCATACTCTGTATGTTCCCCCCAATGACTGACACCTGACTCCTTGAATCGTTTGTACCGTCTTTATTTTTAAATATTCTCTAATAAAATTTAAATTTTGTACAACTTTAAAAAAAATATTTCTTTTGTCCTAAGCATTTGTATGCATGGATGTTCCCCTTAAGCAACCATAACTAGCTATTAACTAACTTTTTGATTTCTGGATTATGTATTTACACACACAATACATCACATGTGGGAATAATAAACCTGAAATTGCCTGAATTTTTTACTGCACCCATGTAGTAACCTTCTTTATTTCTGATTTTATGTAAAAAATTTAAGTAACTTTATATTCCTCTCTCCCCACGCAGCAAGGCCCTGCATTGCAGGAGGCCTCGCTTCAGTGGTGAAGGATTGGCTAGAGTGTGAAGGAAGGGGCTCTTCCTTTTCCCCCTCTGCACTCCTGACACAGATCAGGACTCAAACACTGATTTCTTCCTCCACCCGCCCCCAGGAGAGATGGGGTGTTGCACAAATACATTTTAAATTTGTACAAGCAAACAGGTTATAGTTAGGCTTGGAAGGACTAGATTTTTATCAGTAAAGGTTGATTTCACTGTTCGCACACCCAATGAAAAAATATTTCCATAAATAATCAAAATATGCAGAAAGGTTACCAGCTGGATTCAATTTGAAAATAAGATATTTATTTTATTAAACCTTGATGACTTTGCGTAGTGTTTTAAGATCCCAGATTCTTCTCATAGGTAGCAAAATGTAATCAGTCTAGCATGTGAATTTCTGTTTGGTGATATTCTTTGAGGGAGAGAGACTGATATTTGTTGTATTCCCTCTGCACAGAATGGTTTTTGCAATTTTTGTACAAATGATGTGTAATTGTTTATAACATTGCCACAAATCCTTGCCCCCCCGCTTGCCCTCAAGGATTTTTGGCTTTGCTGCTGTGTCAGTTCATGTCATTTTCCATAGAATTCCTTCCCATTGCTTTTGCTAATAGCATCAGCATGGACATGGTCTTCTGTATGCTATTGATGGGCTGACACTTCCAGAGCTACCTGTCAACCAGTTGGAAAGAACAATCTAAATTCATGGTTTCTTTCTCCAAAGGAAGAGAAATTGAAGAGGTCTGGTCCTAAAAGTATTAATTGTTTTCTAAAACAATAACAAAAATTTGTTGTTAATTGAAAATGTTGCAACCATGGTCAGGACATGTCAGGATTCTTTCCCCATATCTGTTCAGAATTCTTTTCACTAGTCTTTCTAATAAAAATAGACTGTTAATACAGACTGTTGCAAAGCAGCAGAAAACATTTTTACTGCTTTTATTTCAGGCAGACTTGCTGTTGGAGAAAGCATATGTGCTTGTCAATCTCAGTCGAAAAGTTCTGTTTAAGAAACTGACCCCAGTATGATATAGCAACAGGATTTATTGTACATTTGTAGATGCTATAATTTGTTTTTGATCATGCACAAATTGATCTTCCATATCCTGACGTCTAGAAGTTTTGGAAGGAAGAGTTACCAAACCTTGAAATCAGATATTTCATTGTCAGTTTTAATATTATAAATCTCATGAGACTGAACAGTGGAGTAACCTGTTTTAAAGACTGGTTACCATGGCTAATAAATCAAGGTCTCCAGATCAGATATCAGGATTTGAATCTTCAGTTCTGATGTGTGGGTGACTGTTACAGGGTTTAATCAATCTGATCGCTGTTATATTTTTCTTATAAATTATTTAAATAGCCTGGGTCCAGTCTACAGTTTAGACAAGAAGATGTAAAATTGCAGTACCCTTAAGCAGAATCCAAAATATCAAATCAGCAATACTTTGCATGTCTTCTACAAACCACTCTCATAGCAGGATGTATAAAGTTACTTCTCTGAGATCGATCTCTGTTTGCAAGTACATATAGAAATATAAAGAAGTCTGAGACACTTACAGTGTGCCTCTTTTCCTCTGTTGGTATTTGTCTCTGTGGCTTCAATCTTATATTCTTTGGGCACTCAAAGCTGTCACTGAAATGAGTGGGAGTTTGGAGTGTGCAAGGAATGAAGGTCAAGCTCACTAAGGCTTGGTCTACACTACAAAGTCAAGTTGACATAAGGCTGCTTACGTTGACTTAATTATGTCAGTGTCTACACTACAGCCTTGCTCCCGCCAATGTAAGTGCCATACCGTGTGGACATAATGTGCTTAGGTTGATGTAGTTAGGGTGACGCAGTGTCAGTGTAGACATTGTGAGTTACTTACGTGGACTGTTGGCTGTCATTCTTGTCAATTTTGTGGCTCCATGCTGGAGCCACGAAATTGATAAGAAAGCCAGGCTCGCAGCTTGGGCTGTCACCCTGGGGCAGGTGGATGGCTCCAGCTAGAGCCAGTCTGCCCTCTGGGCCCCCCGCTCCAAACCAAGGAAGCATCTGGGCAATAATCCAACATATATTTTTAAAAAGTCTTCATCTATACCAAACATTACTGAGTCAGCAGTGTGCACACAGTAGATAATTAAAGCACTGATAACCAGTAAAATAAAACATTAAAGTTTTGTCCTGTATCATTTAATACACATTTAGAAAAAATGATAGCTTTGATAATGAAAATGACTAATTTACAAGATTGTGGAAATCAGGATTGTGGACTATAGGAAAAGACTGATAATTGTTATGCTTCTTAGGGGAGAATAATAACTTCCAGAGCTGCTCTGTGAATATTAATGAAAATGTTCTTTACAGTTAAAATCAAAATGCGTTAGTTTTGAAGCAAGAAGCCCTAAAAACCAGACAATGGGCAATGTCCAATGATTGTAAGTGGAGAGGATAAACCATTGAAATAAATGTGCTTGTCAGATGGCCTTCCTGTACTGGAGTTTCACAATAGTCCCATCAGTAGAAGGAGAGAGGAGTCATCTACACTGGGATCTCAAACGAGCTAGCACCAACTGTGTTTAAAGGCAGCCACAAACCTGCTGCGTGATCCTGGGCAATTCACATAATCATTCTGTGCCTCTTTGCTATTTAGATTGTAATTGTGGGAAGGACTTTCTCAACCCATGTGTACACAGTGCCTGGTGCTATGGTGCCGTAATTCAGTTAGGATCTCTAGGCGCTATTGTAATAGAAATAAAATAAATAAACCCTAGCTTGTACAATTCTACTCGCAGTATGGACAGCATGTAACAAATGTAGGAGTGGCAAAATTCTGTCGGAATTTGATGTAAGCTGATGGGAAAACGGAATAGAAACAAAAATACAGTCATAGGCAGTAAAGTATGTTCAGCAAGAGTGAATCTTTATAAATGTAGCCATGTAACAGAAGCAAAATGAGTAATAGACAAGCCTGAGCAGGGACTGCTGCAAACCTCCAGACCCTCTTCTTTTGTCTCTCCAGCAGCCCTTTTTAAAGTCCTCTTTGCACAGGTGTCCAAGGAAGGGACTTGGGAAAGCAAAACTTGATTAACTCCTTAGGCGCTTGAGACTAGGAGTACCTCTGCACTCTGATTTGGGGGTGGGGGGACAGCTGGGAAGAATGTTGCCTAGTATTTCATTGTGAGTTGAAGTAAATTATTTTTTCTCCCCTTCTCTCCCGCCACTGCCCTCTCCTCTGCCGCCCCCCCCCTCAATAAAATGTTTGATCCATGTTAATGGTTTCCTTAATGGTTTATAGTGTGTCCAGCTGGAAGGGGAGGATGACACATGTCCCATTGATAGGTGTCTTATTGTTCTGGTAGCTTTATGCCCACTGCTTCACCTAGAAATGTGTTGCAGTTCATGTAGACTCTTTAGAACTATTTATGTGTAATGACACTCAAACTGCTAGTAATAAGGTACTTCATCTTGAATTTTCTGTTTTTATAGCCATGCTGTGTTCACTGATGTGAATTCCATAGTTCGCTATCTGGCTAGAGTTGCTACTTCCGCAGGGCTATATGGTTCTAATCTTCTGGAACACACTGAGGTGAGAAACAGCCATTCATACTTGATTTTTTTCATGCGGTTGCATTTTTGCTTATTTGGGGATTTACCTACGTAACCCTAGAATGATGCAGCATTTTTCTGTATGAGGGTCCAACTACTTGGGCTGCTGAAGCTATGTTTTTGTGAAACTGCCTCCAACTACACACATCCATGGATCTAAACATGGGAGAATTATTCACAATGGCTCCTAACCATGCTGGTCTCTGACAGGGTGTACATTTCTTTCTTTCCGTCTCTTCAGTTTTGATACTGCCACTTCCTCTGCGTACCATTTGTTTTTCTAACACAGCTGTTGCTTGTGGCCTCCATCAGAACTGCTGGGTGAATTATGCACAAATAAAATATGCTCCTGTGTGGAAATCTCACAAATTCTTACCCCAACCAACCACTACATTGTTTCTTTTTTGCCTTATGGAGCTCTAAGCTAAAAATTGCTTATGATTCCCAGTCTCCACACTGTATATGGATATACCTATCTCATAGAACTGGACCGGATCTTGAAAGGTCACTGAGTCCAGTCCCCTGCCTTCACTAGCAGGACCAAGTACTGTCCCTGACATTTTTTTTCTTTTTGCCCCAGATCCCTAAATGTCCTCCCCCCTTCTGTCCCTCCCCCAGGCAGGCTGCATTCTGGTCTGGGACTCTGGGTGGACATTTGCCAAGTTGTCAGGATTCCCTCCCCTGGAGTCCTACATTTTCCAGAATGTCTTCAAAATTAAACCTAGAGATGAATCTAAAGTTTCCATAACCCAAAGAGATCCTTCTTAGTTATCTTTGTTCATTTATATGAACAAAATGAAGTTATTACAGTTATCAGAACTTGGTATGATGTGGAATTGAGAAGGAATTTTTCCTGGCTTCAGCCCAGAAGAGCCATATGTTGAATTTTAAACTAGGTGCCTGAGATTGATAGTGGTAACAGAATCATTTTGACTGAGTTACTGTAGGGTTATTAGGGGTTTGACCCACACCTACCCTACAATTTTCTTTTAAGGCATTGGAGATCAGTCTTCAACCCTGGCAATTGTCCACTTTTTCATGTAAGAGAAAAGTGCTGCTTCGTTATGTTGCTTATGAATTTTTAATCATTTATAGCTTTTTGTGGTTAAATAAATTAACTTCCTAACCCAAATTAGAACTTGAACTGTGAACATGTGCAAGACTTAAGTGTTCAAAAACACATTTGCAAGGTCAGTAACTTTGATACAATACATTTAATTCCCACCTATTGGTTTTTTCAAAAATAAAATTGGGCTTTGAGAAATGTTAAGACAGCTGCATTTGTGGTGGGAATATTTTAGAACGTAACTGTAAATGAGAGAGTTGAATTTTATAGTCCTGTGACATCTGTGCCTGCCACGTCAGCTTGGCTGTTGGAAGAATTCCTACTGCAGTGTACATATGGAATGGATTTAGAAGGATTTTAAGAGATACTTTGCAACTGAGGTATCAAGTTTGTATGCTAGAGCCAGATCCTCAGCTGGTGTAAATGAGCATGGCTGCTTGATTATATATTTTAAAATTTGGACATCTTTATTACCTTCTTGGAGTAAACTTTTTGTGGGGTGGCAGAGGAGGAGGAGGTTGGGAATACAGTGGAAAAACTGGTGTGTTTTGTTTTTTTAAAAGTGAAAGACAGGGGATGGTGCATAATGTCACTAATATACAGTCAGGAAGAATGAATGGAATCGAATAGAACAGGAATACTGTCCCTTAACATTAAGGAATAATTCTAGATCGGGATGGACAAACTTTTTGGCCCGAGGGCCACATCGGGAAATAGAAATTATATGGTGGGCCATGAATGCTCACAAAATTGGGGTTGGGGTGTGGGCTCTGGGGTGGGGCTGGGGATGAGGCGTTGGGGTGTATGAAGGTGCTCTGGGCTGGAACCAAGGCTTCGGAGAGTGGGAGGGGGATCAGGGCTGGGGCAGGGGTGCAGGAAGGGGTGCAGGTTCCATCTGGGAGTGTGGGCTCTGGGGTGGGGCTGGGGGTGAGAGATTTGGGGTGCAGGAGGATGCTCCGGGCTGAGATCGAGGGGTTTAGCGAGCGGGAGGGGGATCAGTACTGGGGCATGGGGTGGGGGTGTGGGGAGAGGCTCAGGGGGTGCAGGCTCCGAGCAGCACTTACCTCAAGCGGCTCTTAGAAGCAGTGGCATGTCCTTTCTCCGGCTCCTATGCGGAGGCGTGGCCAGTCGGCTCTGCACACTGCCCTGTCCGCAGGCACCACCCCTGCAGCTCCCACTGGAGTGCATAGGAGCCAGAGAGGGGCCAAGCCGCATGGTGCGGCCCCCAGGCCAGCTTAAAATGCCTCAGCCCACGGGCTGTAGTTTGCCCACCCCTGCTCTAGATTCACGACAGTACATGGAAAATTTGAATTCTCTTTATTAATCTTTAAGTATCAGCAGTCTTTGAAGAAGATCGTGGCTTAGATTGCATATTACAAAAAAAAGCATAATCAAAAGCATGAAAGTCATTTCATGTTTTAGACCAAGGCAAAATCTCAGACTGCCGGACATCAGTGGCCAGATTCTATCCATTACACTTGGGTCAATCTGAAGTAACTCCATAGTAGTCAATGGAGTTACACCAGTCTAAATGTTGTTGGTATTCCTGGGGGAATTCTGTTCCAAAAAATTAAAAACTCTGCACACACTATTTTAAAATTCTGCATATTTTATTTGCCAAGGTAACAGAATATAATCACACCAGTTTCAATTATTTTGATAATGTATTTCAAAATACCTATCAACTAGTATGTCTGTAACAATACAGACAACAAAAAAGATTCAGGAAATGTTTTTTGACAAATAGATTCTTTACTAGGCATATTAATACAGAACTTTGAGTAATAATTCATTTAAACTACAATACAGAAATATTTCTCGTTCCCCTCAGAAGCAGTACAAAGGCTTGGGGAGAAGTCAGGGGTAACGGAGGAGCTGATGGAGAGGGAAGTAATTGCTGGGAAGGAGTGTGGGAGTGAACCCGGCGGTTGGGTGTGTGTGTGGGAGAAGTATGGAACAGGTATTTGGGGCGGGGGGATTGTTAGGGAGTTGAGGAGCCTCCCTCCCTGCAGACCCTGGCTGACCACTAGCCTCTCCCAGTCACTCAACCATCCCTCCTACCCCGTCCCCACGTGGCCCTACACCCCCACTCAGCCACCCATCCCCATGTGGCCCTGTACCCCCACTCCTATTCAGCCTCTACTCCACTCTATTCCCCCACTAGCCCTTCTGAACCCTAGTCTGACCCCCCCCAGCAGCCTTCTGTGCCCTCCTCTCTGTCCCCCTCCCCCATATCCCATGCCTCCTCATCTAGCCCTGCAGGTAGGGCACTGTGAGGAACACAGCCTCTGCTCTCTCCCTGTTGGCTGCTGACTGCTACGGCCGGTGAGCCTGCTGCCTCTGTTCTGGTGCTACAGCACCCCTGCTCGGTAAAAGCTGTAACTGCAGAGCCTTTCTGGCAAATGTATTTTCTGCAAAGGAAAAAAAATCTGCAGGACACGTGAATTCTGCGCATGCACAGTGGCACAGAATTCCCCCAGGAGTATATTATGCAGTCCTGCCTTTAGTGCAGGAGACTGGACTAGATGACCTCTTGAGGTCCCTTCCAGTCCTACACTTCTGTGATTCTATGATTTTATATTCAGAGCCATGTATTTAATACTACTGCCCACTTTCCGTGAATGATAGACTTGGATATGGTTTTTTGACCAGCAAGAATTTCTATAACTTTAAAGGATTTTTTGTGTTAAATATTATGTTGACTTCTTTGCTCCTTAACATTAGATTGACCATTGGCTGGAATTCAGCGCGACAAAGTTATCTACCGGTGCCCAGTTTGGTTCAGCACTCCTTGAGCTTAATCACTGTCTGTCTCTAAGGACCTACTTGGTTGGAAACTCCCTGAGTCTGGCAGATTTGTGTGTCTGGGCTGTACTAAAAGGTATTAATTATACAGTTGTTCTCAGAGGTTTGCAAATGTGATACAATGCTAAAATCTGTTTCCTTTTAGTCTCCAGTTTCTGCAACTATTTTTAAGGAGAATTTTGTAGGAGTAAGATCTGGTAATCTTGAGGGTTTTACATGTCTTGATAACATAACTGATGTTTAAGAAATTTAATTATAAATCACACCATAAATTTGAGTCTTTGGTCTTTTTTACTAAAATATCAGTTTTTCATGGGGGTTTTTTTTCTTCTCAGATATGAAAATATACTCTAGGCTAAAATTTTGCATCTGACTCTAACCAGGGTGTAAATTATCCCTCAAATCTCATACAAAAATGTTTAATTAGACTGCGTTATTATTAGAGGGAGCAATCTAATTTTGCTCGGTTTTGTGCTTTCATTGCATAAGTTCGACATCCAGTTGGCGAATGGATGCTGCTGTGTTTTTTGACCATCTAAGTTTTTTTTAACTATTGTATTCATGGGGGAGGCATGGCCATATCACCAATAGCTTTAGTTTCTAAAATTATCTCTAATATGGATGTGGGTGGAATACAAAGAGGTTCACATATTTGTTTCCTTTGGAGACATTAGGAAAGATTGCAGAGTCTTCTAAAGTAAATGCATTGTTTTTACCCAGATTATCTATGGTAAAGACGTATCATTTTTTCACAACTGGTTGAGATGTGAAAATGGGGCAGCCTATTTTTAATCCACATTGTCATTTTTTTAAAATGAATGTTACTAGAAGTCCAGCTATTCTAGTTATAAGTTTACAATTTTAAAATCAAAATTTGTTTCCCAACAGGCAGTAGTGCATGGCAAGAACAGTTGCAGCAAAACAAGGCTCCAGTCCATATGAAGCGCTGGTATGGCTTTCTTGAGGCACAGTGTGCCTTTCAGTCAGTGGGTACCAAGTGGGCTGCAACTGCATCAAAGACCAAAGTGGTAAGCTTTGTTCTAATTATACAGTGAAGGTGGCTGTTCTGTTTGTGAACTATAGTAAAAGTTTGTATCTTCTTCTGATAGCTCACTTTAGAAGTTATGCTAAAGGGAATTAGTTATACTGTAATCCAAAGGCTTTAAAAAATCCTTATAAAACAGTTACTTTAGTAATTTCATCCCCAAATGTGCATGGATACTGATAGGGTGGATCAGCTCTGGAAAAGCGACTGTGTAAAAATGGCATCTGTTACTCAGATACTCCATATTTATATTCAGAGTTCAGTCTGCTTGCTTTAGTAACAAGTGTTTTTACAATTTTTGTTTGTACTGCAAAGCTATCTATGGTAGAATGAGATGAACAGAGTTGTTAACCAAGTTCCATTTGAAGGCAGTGGGAGTCCACAGATAACTGAGCACGAAACTTGGCTTTCGGAAATTCTTTCTTGTAGTGAGGATCAGAAACCAAAAACCCATCTGGACTTTCTAATCCCAGGTCAAGCTTGCAGATCTCACCTTCTAACTTTGAAACTGAGCAAGTATGATATGAAAGTCATCTGAGCCAGGGACCCCAGGTTGCCATTTTTCAGTCTCCTTTCAGAGAAGAAACCTGCTTTAAGTGTTTGTATCGTACAGCTTGTGTAAGATATTTAATGAGGTCATTGTTAATTTTTAAGGCAACAGAAAAGAAACAAGATGTTGGGAAATTTGTGGAACTCCCAGGTGCAGAGATGGGGAAGGTCATTGTTCGGTTTCCTCCTGAAGCCAGTGGGTAAGATGACCTGTTTTAACCCACATTCCTTTAAAAAACTGTAAGACAGGAGAGGGATTGTGTTTTATCTTGGAAATAGTTACCAGATTAGTGTGTTTTAACAGCTGAATTCAAGGGCCTCTCCTGCCCCGATGATGGTCATGTGTTTAGTCAAGGATGAACAGTGTCTTAGAGGTGATTTCCAAATGTTCAAAGTCACTTACAGATGTTTTCTAAAATGTTTTCACTAGCAAAGGTTTACACTTACCAAAGCTGTCCTTTACAACCTCACCCCATAAATAACAGTAAAAAGACCACTAAAAGTATCATCACCAGCTCCATAAAATGTTGTTTTCCAGTTACTTTCAATGTCCCATTTCCTCTTAGATGGATTTGATAAAGTTTAAAATTGCTGTTTAAGGCATTTTTTCTGTAGGCTGGTTAGCCAGCATCTTATGACTTGTTTCAGACTTTGTAGTACTGTTTCTCATTCTGATAATCAGATATAAATCATGCTATTTGAGTACTACTAATATATTGTATATGCATGTAAATTTACAAATGGTGTGGATGAGAGAACCATACAAGAAAATAGTTTGTTTTTTGGAATCTATAGGGTATTCTGAAGGGGAGAATCCCCACTGCCATGTGTAAACTTCTGGAAAAATGAAATAATTTGTAGAAGTAACAGTTCATACACTTTTGTGGATTTGGATTTATCCAAGTTCTTGGGTACCTCTGCTACCGTATGATGGAATTCACTAACCCATCTAAATTCCCCAGTGTTCTGACAGTTACTCAGTGCAAGTGTTTCAGGATGTTGTGAACTCTTTAAAATGTCAATAATTTTAAAAAGATTAGCTTTTTATTACGCTGGTCTACAATTTTTGAGAAGTCTGCTTCAGAGATAAAATTTGCTATTTATTATGTA